AACTTGATTTCTGTGAGAAAGTGGCAAACTGAAACTAAATGTTCTATGCATCACTGACGTCCAAGTACCGTGCAGATTTTTAGCTGTACAAACATAACTGTTTTTTTTTTTTTTCTTACTTTGCTTTTTACTGTTTTTTTTTTCACTTTAAAAAATTTGCTCATGATGACTTTTTTCCTCACACGGAAGCTAGCGTGCGGTGCTTCCTGGGGAGCGCGCTGGCTGGGGGTGACGCGGCTGGGGCTGCGCCGCGCTCCCCGTCCCTTGGGCGTTCCACGCCCGTCTGCTCCGTGCTGTGGAAGTCAGGAGGGGCCGATCAGTGGCTCCGCTGGGGCGGACAGACACCTTGCGTTCTGCAGGCTGAAGAGCTGAGCGCTGCGCCTGTCGGGGGCTCAGCGTCGTGGTGGGCCTGGGAAAGGCGCGCGGGCTGAGCGGCGGCAGCTCGGCTCTGGTCAAACGGCTGTAGCTGCTTTGGAGCAAATCGTGAACGTCAGAAGATCTGTTTCAGTTCTTCACTTTCTTTGTTCTGGTTTGAACTGCGGTGAGGAATGCACTGGTTTAAAAAGAGTATCCAAATCTGCTCTTCTTTCAGAAGATAAAGCTTTAGAATTTAGAAGCAGCCTTCATGATGAGAGTTCTAAAGCTTGGGCCCTGGGGATGAGGGTGGTGTGCAACTCTGATAGTGGTGGGAGGGGAAGAATCTGAAGCTTTTTGGTGATTTCTGATGGATGTGCTTGCCGAGCAGTTTATGTAAACCCACTTCACGTTGCAATCCAGCAGTCTTAAACGCTTGTGCGGAGCCTGGCTTCCTCTACGGGAGCGATGGTGGCAGCTGACAAGCAGCGGCTGCTTGGGGGTGTGTGATGTGGTGGCAGGCGGTCGTCTGGACACAGCCCTTCACGTGCTCGAGCGGGAGGAACGCCTCGTCCTGCCGTGTCGCGAAGAAGTCAAAAGTACATCTCTGCAGGCCAGCGCAGGCAGTGTGTACGGCTTGTCCTGCTTCAGGTCGTGTCTTAGAAAGGTGGTAGAGGTTGAAAAGCACTGTCTGTAGAGGGAAGAAACAAAAGTTTATGTTACTTGCATAGTTTTCAGGGACAGGGGAAGAAAAAATGTTCTCCTGGACGAGAATGCGTGTCATTGCCACCATGGGTGACTGTGTCACGCCGTGTTGAGGTGGAACGAGATAATTATGTTGAAACCAGTTTGTCTTTTTTTGAGTCTGTTCCTCCACTGCCCTGCTGTGAGCGAGACAAATTTGTCATTTGCTGCTAAACTTATTACTTACAACGTACAGACCAGGGCATTGTTAGAGGTGAATAATGTGGATTTTGAAATTCTTCGTCTGAGTTTCAGCTTCTGCCTGCAGTAGAGATGGGTACTTAGATAATTTCAAAGGGAGGCCTGCTACTGTGTTTGCAGAGCTCACGGCTGTCAGAGGTATGGTGGAGCTGCTGTATGCTTTTTTTAGCCATCTCTACTATTATAATTAAGTATCTCTCCTTACTAACTCTCTTTTAAATCCCTAGAGTGTTATACAACATAATTACCACTGCGGTGTTAAGATAGAGGCAAAGTAGTTGGAACTGTACTTAGATGTTCACTTTGAAGGTAAAGCTTTCCTGATTTAAAAATCAGTTGGCTTCCTGTGAGATATCATGGTGGAAGAATTTGTAGAGAATTGTAACTGTGGAGGAGCTGAAGCCTTGCAAATGAACTTGGGAAGTGTGATTTCGTGAGAGACGTGCCAGAGAAGCTTTTGGGAAGGGAAGACGAGACATCTGCTTGGTAGTGTGTAAGAAATGATGTAAAATAGATTGAAATAAAAGGCTGTTTATGTGAGTTCCTCTTATTTTTAATGATATGTGGATTCTATGTGAAAAAATAAAACGGTGTGCTTTGAGGATGTGACCTTCCTACTTTTGTGCTACTCTTGACCTCAGATTTTTAAGTATTTTTGAATATTTCAGAACAGAATAAAACGCACACTTGCTAGAGGTGAAAGGAGTAGAGCTTTTAGCTTTTCTAACATGCTGCTGGTGAGGCTTTCTGGAACCTTACCGCGCTTCTGATTAACTCGTGAGGGAGGTGCTGGAAACGCAGGAGCAGACAGCTCTGTGCAGACGCAGAGCTGCTTGAAGGGAGTGGCAAAGCTACGAGCTGTTCAAGAGACCAGGAGCTTGGGTTTGGTTTAGTGGAGACGGTGAAAGGAAAGATTGTCATCAACATTCGGTGCTTTTGTGTGGATTCTTGTTGAGACACAAGAGGTGTGTTTAAACAAGAGGCAGGTATCTGAGAAAACTGCTGTTGGGAAAGAAAAAAGTCTGTAAGAAGTGTAAAAAGATGCAGCAGAATCTGGGAAGACCTAGGGTGCCTGTTAAGCAGATAAAGAGCTTGGGGTTGTGTGTTTGGGAGAACGCTGGTGGTTGGCTGGGCTGGCAAGTTGGGAAGGAAGGTGAGTTGTAGTGAGTTGGAAGTGAGAGAATGGGCAAACTGGAGATTTAATCTAAGGATGTTGTGATTTAAGCAGTAGCTGTTCAGTTCTGCCAAATACCAGACACGCGAAAAGGGGCTCCTGGGCGGGCGTTGTACAGAAAG